CTCGCTGTGGATCTGAGCTCTGCTCTGGCTTGGAAGCCGAGCTCTCGCCTGCATCTGAGCTCTGCTCTGGCATGGGAGCCAGGCTCTCGCCTGCATCTGAGCTCTGCTCTGGCATGGGAGCCAGGCTCTCGCGTGCATCTGAAATCTGGTCCGTCTTGGATGCCGAGCTCTCGCGTGCATGTGAGCTCTGTTCTGGCATGGGAGCCGAGCTCTCGCGCGCATCTGACATCTGCTCTGGCAAGGGAGCCGAGCTCTCGCGTGCATCTGAGCACTGCTCTGGCATGGAAGCCGGCTCTCGCGTGCATTCGAGCTCTGCTCCTGCTTGGAAGCCGAGCTCTCTCGTGAATCTGAGCTCTGATCTGGCTTGGCAGCCGAGCTCCCGCGCGCGCTGTGATCGATCCACTCATGCTTGGTCTTGGTCCAGCCGTAGTAGGGCCACGTCCCGGGGTCATCTTTGTTCTAAGCTGGAACACCGTCCTGAGGAGGAGTCCATCCGTAGAAGATCCACGTGCTCGGGTCTGACGGGCTCCATTCTGGGATGATGGCGTCGTTATTCGTCCTCTTCTTCGCGAACTCCTTCGCCCTGGCCATCCTCTGCTGACCCACTATGTCCTGCAGCCCGAACTTCTCGTTCATGAGCTCCTGGGTGTAGTCCTTCTCTGACGGCATTTGGATTTGCAGCTCCGCTTTGAACTTCAATATCCCATGCGCTTCCGATACTTAACGCATCATTCACACCATTGATTTGCCCCTCTAGCGTCCGTATGTTCTCGGTGATCCTGAAGGCCTGCATGGCGCTGCGGGTGAGGATCATTGTCAGCTTGGTCTTCATTGCCACGAGGTAGTCGATCTGAGTCACAGTATTCTTCAGCATGTCAGTCGTCATCTCCTTGCTCTCCCACCGGTTCTTCTCCTGCAGCGCGATGATGTAGTCGGCGTCGCCGACCTCCTGATCGTCGGTCTGGCCACGGAACATTTGCTGATGCTGCTTTGGAATTGATGGGAGTTGTGTCGCCATTCCGAGGGGTCTCGCCGCAACTTTTGGGTGCCGAGCCACACTGATGGATGTGCTACGGAGGGTCCCCGCAGCTGCAGAGGTCGCGGGTCTCTAGAGCCCTCTGAAGCGACTAGGGTAAAGAAGGGGACCTCTCGGGCTTCTTAGACTATCCTGATTGCTTTCACCCTTCCCCACCGAGGCTGACCGTCGTTGGCAACTTACTGCGCAACAAAATGGGGCGGGATGGCGCAATCCATGGCGCAGCCTATGGCCGAGAGATTCTTGATGTCGGAATTTTGGCTTGGCTATGGTGTTGGGGCCCAAGCGGACTGCGAACGCACGCGCTGCGGGGCGAGGGGAAGAGGAAGAGGAGGAGGAGGAGGAAGAGGAGGAGGCGGACGAGGAGGAGGAGGCGGAAGAGATGGCCACATCAGGATGACTGCATGGCCGAGAAAGAGAGAAAGGGAAAGAGAGAGAGAGAGAGAGAGCGAGTGAGAGAGAGGGAGAGAGAGGACGAGAGAGCGAGAGAAAGAGAGAAAGAGAGAGGCGGAGGAGGGTCGCACATCGCCTGGCCCCGAATGGGGCAGCGCAGTCTACGCCAAACGACCCCTGCGCTTACTGAGGCGCCCTGCCGTTCCTTGCCTCACTTCCTTTGTGCCCCCCTCCCCCATCCCTCCCCGCTTCATTCCCTCTCCCGGGTCTCTCCTCGTGTTGGTGGTGTTTGTTTGTTACGCATGCGCATGCATATACACAACTGTATATATGCATATACAAATATGTTTGCCACGCATGCACACATATATATATATATATATATACATATACATACATATATATATATATATATGTGCGCATCTAGATGCAACTGTGAATATACATAAATGCATCTGAGCTGTATATATACATAGGTGTATGTACATGTTATTTGCCTGTGTTCGCAAATCTCTCGATGTAAATATATATATATATATGTATATGTACATATACCTATGTACATATGTCATGTGTGCTCGAATGTGTTGTTCCCCCGTGAACAAGGCGAAGGCGCATTCGGGCAGTGGTGCACATCGACACCCGCGCCGTTCCCTCTGCGGAACGACCCCTAAAACAAGCTCGTGCTGGTGTCTGCGACATCCATATAACCACCCCTGCATCACACTAGATAAAGCAACCCTCGCTTGACAACCAAATACTGAGCCTTCCTAGCAGCGGCGTAGTCCTTGGAGTTCACCACCCAAAGCACCTTGTCCCACGCCGCATTGGGGTCAACCTTGAAGGAGCAATTGATGCCATTCTTGGAAGTCGGGTGGACGCACCTCCAAGCATCCCTTACGGTGTCTGTGTGCACCTTCCACTTGTTGATCTCCATTGGGGCTGGCTTCGGCTTGTTGCTCTTGGGTGCACCTGGGAAGGGGTACGTTGCCTTCGTGGCGGTCGAGCTCTTGCTGGCGCTCTCCCCCTTCGCAGCCTCCATCGGCGGGCTCGCCTCTGGCTTGTCCACGCCGAGGTCGTCCTGGGAGTCCGCTGCAGCGGGCCTCTCCATAGCATGCTTCTTGCCGCCTTCGAGGATTCCCATCACCGCCTTGGCCACCCCAGCGCTGTCCTGGCTCTCCACGCCCGGGCCGGGCGAGGAGAGCTTCTCCATCGACGCTCGCCCACCCTCGCCCCCATGCCTGAAAGCGCATTCTCGCGTTGCCTGGAAAACGACGTGAAGCATTTCGCAGGGCCCACCGGGGCCTTCGGTGGGGCCCCCTATGTGAGGCCACGAAGCGCTGTGCTCGGTGGTGGATGACGCGTGCGGGCGGTCCCACTGGGGCCTTCGGTGGAGCCCTCTACGTGGCCACGAAGCGCTGCACTCGATCATCCGCCTCCGCCTCCTCCTCCTCCTCCTCCTCATCCTCCACCTCCTCCTCCTCCTCCTCCTCCTCCTCCTCCTCCTCCTCCTCCTCCTCCTCTTACTCCTCCTCCGCCTCCTCCTCCTCCTCCTCTTACTCCTCCTCCTCCGCCTCCCCCACTTCCTCCTCCTCCTCCTCTAGGTTGACGCCTCCAGAACGACTGGCGAGAGCAGGCCTGGCTCGAGGTGGGCAGCTCGGGCGCCGCCTGGGCCCCACCGCTGGGGGCGGCGGGGAGGCCCCCCTCCTCCTCCTCCTCCTTGTCCTCGTCCTCCTCCTCCTCCTCCTTGTCCTCGTCCTCCTCCTCCTCCTCCTCCTCCTCCTCCTCCTCCTCGTCCTCCTCCTCCTCCTCCTCCTCCTCCTCCTCCTCCTCCTCGCCGGAAGGCCAGCGGGGGCGCGCCCTGGACGAGAGCCTTCGGCGGCCGGGCCGGCGCCTTGCCTGGGGAGTGGGGGCCGCCCGTCGGGGAGTCCTTCGGGCCCAGACATGATAACGTCGTAAAAAAATCAGGACGGGAGGTTTTTCGTTATTTTCGGCCCCTGGGGGCCCTCGCCGGGCCTCGGGACCGTCAAAAAACGAGTCAGGACGAAAAACCGGCCCTGGGGAGAGGGTCTGGACTTCCAGGGACGCCGTCCTGAAAAAATCGGGACGTCGCATGTCTGGGGGCGTTCCGCCCCAGCTCCTCCGCGCGTGCCTGCGCATCCCTTTGCGGGCCCTGATCTTGGACAGCCTCGTCCTCCTGGGGGCCTGGCTTCGGCCCCTGGCCCCCCGGCGAGCCCAGGGGCGCCGCCTGCGGGGCGCCTCCGCGGGCCCCTCCCCCTCCGCGGCCCGGGTGGCGAGGTCTCGCCGCCCCCAATTCGAACGACTTCTTATTGGAAGTACAGTCAAAAACCTTTGAGTCAGGGTTTGCTCAGGGTGCCCTTGCGTCCTTGCTCTTCCTTGCTCTTGCGTCCTTGAGGTTTTCGTCGTCCGCCGCCCCCAAAAACCCAACTTCGGCTTCCAAGGGTCTTGCGTCCTTACCGCGCGTCCTTATTAGGGTTTTTGATTGTAGCAGGGAGAAGGGGCCGATTGCATCGCGGTCACGGGGGGAACGGGCGCGCTTGGAAAAGGGAGGTGAGGGCGCTCCAACTGCCCGCTCCCAGGGCCAGCTGTTCCACAACCGCGCGGTCGTGAATTGCAGCTGCCCCGACTTGCGGCGGCGCTTGGAGAGCGCCGCCGGGAAGGCGGCCTTCTCGCGACGGCGGAAGGACAGCAACCCCCCAGCCAACGTTGCGGTGCAAAACTACCTCAACACCGGGATCGACGCTGGAGGCCGCGTCGACGCGGCGGAGGGGCCCGCCCCAGTGGGAAGCCCTCTCTGCCTCTGCCGCGGGCTGGCAGGCCGCCCTGATCCTCCCGCTGGCGGGCCTCGCCCGCCAGGGATGCTGGCCCGCGGGCGGAAGGGGGTTCCGCGCGGGAGGGGAGAGGGTGTAGACGAATAGTTCGGGGGAAGTGAACTATGCACATGCACCGATCCTGGGAAGGCCCATCCTTGATCCAAGATCGGTGCATATACATTCCTGGCCAAGGTAGGAGGGCGTATGCACCGATCCTGGGCTCAGGATGGGCCTGGCCAGAATCGGTGTATGTGCATAGTTCTCTTTCCTCTATAGTGAACCGTGATGAGCCCATCCGCGAATGGGAAGCAGGGGATGATGGAAGAGGAAACGCCCTAAACTTCTCACGCCCAGCGGTTGGAAGAGGAGGCTTGGAGGGATGGTGTGTTGCGACATCGTTGCTGCGTCTCGTGTTTACACAGGTCCTCCTCCTCCTCCTCCTCCTCCTCAGCATCGTCATTCTCATCTTCATCATCGTCATCAACAACGTCATCATCAGCAGCAGCAGCATCATCATCCCTCCTGCTCCTCCTGCGCATCCTGCTCCTTCTCCTCCACCTCCTCCTCAGATTGCCTCCTGTTCCTGCTCCTCATCATTTTCGTTCCCCTCCTTATTCCTCGTGGAAAAAAAATCGTTCCCCTCCCTATTCCATCTCCTCCTCCCCCCCCCCCTTCCCCCCCCCTGTGTTCCCCGTCCTCCTCGCCGTCCTCCTCCCCGGCGCCCGCCCACGCCACAGGCGTGCGCCGCCGGCCTCCGCCGCCCTGGGCGTCGGCGCCCATCCAGGCGGCCGCCCGGAGGGAGGAACCGCTGTGGCCTCGGGGCTGAAGATCGGGGACGGAAAAGAGGGGGGTGATGACTAGGGGGGGTGGATATCATGGCGGGGGCCATGATATTTCCCCAGCTTTCATGGCGCCTCTTCTTATTTCATTACGTCCCTGGCCCCCCCGCTGGGCCGCGCACATGCCGCCGGTCATGATTTGCACCCCCCCCTCTTGGACACCCCCCTCTGTGCCGCCCCCGAGAAGAGACAGGGGTGAGTGCAAACGGGGGTTCAGCCAGGGCGCCAGATGCGATCGTTTGTTTATGCCTTGTTGTGCCGATCGGCGCGGGCCTTCGCACCCCCCCCCATCCCCCCCCCCATGAAGCAGATCCTGGCTCTTTTTGGGCGCCTGTTTCGATCGGGTGGGGTCTCCCACAGAGGACGCACGGTTCCAAACAGTCGCACTAAGCAGAGGTCCTTTTCACGGATCCAATGCAATTGATTTTCATTGATTTCATTCCATGCGTAGCATGCTGTCCCCTAATGGACCGCGAACGGGACCCAGTCCCCTGCCTGTCGCTTAGTGCCGCCATCATGGGCAGCCAGAGGGGCCACCATAGGCACCTCGCACCCAATTTGGGGCCATCAGAAAAGGCTCGTTTTGGGAAGAAGGACCATCATAGGTCTTCGCGCTCAATTTGTTCATTGAACTCAACTTTCTCATCGTCGTCGTCGTCCTTCTCCTCCTTCTCCTCCTCCTGGTCTCCACCCCATCGGAGCCGCGATACAGGCAGCGCGGGCAGCACCTCGGCCTCGATCGGGTCGCGCTCGTGAATTTCACGGTTTCTGTGATCATGGGCGTGTTCACGGTGCGTTTCAGGGAGTCCGCAATCATAGATCGGATCGGGCTCGTGAATGTTACGGTTTCTTTGTTCATGAGTCAGGGCATTTCACGGAGTCCGCAATCATAGGCTTGGTCGTGCTCGTGTGTTTCACGGTCTTCGTGATCATGAGCGCGATCAGCAATCATAGGTCGGGTCGCGCTTGTGAGTTTCACGGTTTTCGTAGTCATGAGCGTGGTCACGGTGCGTTTCATGGAGTCCGCAATCATAGGTCGGGTCGTGTTTGTGAAAGCCACGGTTGTATTGTTCATGAGTGTGGTCGCAGTGCATTTCACGGAGGATGAGCACGACGGACGTTGTTGGTGGACGTCCGCCCTTGCCCTCTCCACCCCCGGCGAGGACCATCATAGGCCTTACCAGTGAGGGCCACCACGAGGCCCCTGGGGGATGCGAAGCCCCTGCAGACGGGACGGGGTGGGCACGAGCGGGCATCATAGCCAGTTCAAAATCAAAAGACGCATCATAGACTCATCAATCTAGATTGGTCCACTCACGGATCCAGTGCAATTGATTTTCATTGAAACCATTCCATCCGTAGCATGCTGCCCCCTAGTGGACCGCGAACGGGACCCAGTCCCCTGCCTGTCGTTTAGTGCCGCCATCATAGGCAGCCTGAGGGGCCAGCATACCACCATGGGCACCTCGCACCCAATTTGGGGCCATCAGAAAGGTTTGTTCTGGGAAAAAAAGGACCATCATAGGCCTTCGCGCTCAATGTGCTCATTGAACTCAACTTTCTCATCGTCGTCGTCCTCCTCCTCCTCCTGCTCCTCCTCCTCTTCCTTCTTCTCCTCCTCCTCCTGGTCTCCACCCCATCGGAACCGTGACACAGGCAATGCGGGCAGCACCTCGGCCTCGATCGGGTCGCGCTCGTGAATTTCACGGTTTCTGTCATCATGGGAGTGTTCACGGTGCGTTTCAGGGAGTCCGCAATCATAGGTCGGGTCGCGCTCGTGAATGTCACGGTCTTCTTGTTCATGAGTGTGGTCGCAGTGCATGTCACGGAGGATGAGAACGACGGACGTTGTTGGTGGACGTCCGCCCTTGCCCTTTCCCCCCCCCCCCCCGGGTAAGGAACATCATAGACCTTACCAGTGAGGACCACCATGAGGCCTCACACCCCTCGCAGTTTCCGTTGTTGGGACTGCGGGGGCCGAACGAAAACCCAACAAACCTGGCACCGTACGTGCAGTGCTAGGGGCGGCGGCCCGTCATCCCATCCTACCGTCATAGGGGGACGCGAAGCCCCTGCAAACGCGACGGGGTGGGCACGAGCGGGCATCATAGCCGGCTCAAAGTCAAAAAAAGCATCATATCCACATAATTCTAGATCGATCCATTCGAGGGTCTATTGCACTTGATTTTCACTGAATTCATTCCATGCGTAGCATGTTGTCCCTTAAAGCACCGCGAACGGGACCCAGTCCCCTGCCGGTCGTTTAGCGCCGCCATCATAGGCAGCCAGAGGTGCCTAATAGGCACCTCGCACCCAATTCGGGGCCATCAGAAAAGGCTCGCCCTGGGAAAAAGAAAAGGACCATCATAGGCCTTCGCGCTCAATTTGTTTGTTGATCCCAACTTTCTCATCGTCGTCGTCCTCCTCCTCCTCGTCCTCCTCCTCCCCGTCTTCTTGGTTTCCACCCCATCGGAGCCGCGATAGTGCGGGCAGCACCTCGGCCTCGATCGTGTCGTGCTCGTGAATTTCATTGTTACTGTGACCATGGGTGTGTTCACGGTGCGTTTCAGGGGGTCCGTAATCATAAGTCGGATCGTGCTCGTGAATGTCATGGTGCTCTTGTTCATGAGTGTGGTCACGTGGCATTTCACGGAGTCCGCAATTATAGGTCGGGTCGTGCTCGTGTGTTTCACGGTATTCGTGATCACGAGCGCGATTACAGTGCATGTCACGGAGTCCGCAATCATAGGTTGGGCCGCGCTTGTGAATTCCACGGTTTTCGTGGTCATGAGCGTGGTCACGGTGGGTTTCACGGAGTCTGCAATCATAGGTCGGGTCGCGCTCGTGAATGTTACGGTCTTGTTGTTCATGAGTGCGGTCGCAGTGCATTTCACGGAGGATGAGCACGACGGACGTTGTTGGTGGACGTCCGCCCTTGCCTTCCCCCCCCCTCCCCCGGTGAGGGCCATCATAGACCTTGCCAGTGAGGACCACCATGAGGCCTCACACCCCTCGCGGTGTCCATCATTGGGACTGCGGGGGCCGAACCAAACCCCCGCAAACCTGTCACCGCACGTGCAGTGCCAGGGGCGGCGGCCCGTCATCCCATCCTACCATCATAGGGGGATGCGAAGTCTCTGAAGACGGGGCGGGGTGGGCACGAGCGGGTATCATAGCGGGGTCAAAATCCATTCACGGATCCACTGCAATTGGTTTCCATTGAATTCATTCCATGCGTAGCATGCTGTCCCCCTCTCCCCCCCCTTGTGTCCAATGTCAATACCGACTTCAATACACATTCACAATATTGCAGGATTCCGCATGGCCCAGGGTGCGCTGATCGGCCTTACGTTCGAAGAAGAGAAAGCGCAATAAACATAAATGTTTGGCGTTCCGTGCAGATTTCTTGGATCCGCGCTGGGCCCCCCCCACCCCCGGCGGCGCCACCGGCGCCGCCCTTGGCGCGCTCCGCGCGACAGGGAGGGGGTCTAGCGCGGATCCAAGAAATCCGCGCGGAGCGCCACAAGTTCATGTTCATGTTTGTGGCGTTTTTTCCTTACCTAAGCTCTGCCTAGAAGGGTTCTTGCTCGGAGGCTTCAAGGGGCCGGGCAGTGTAACCCGCCCCGGGCGGTTCCCCCAGGATCCGCCCCGCGGTTCCCCCAGTCCCGTGGGAGTTTTAGCTTTAGTTTCAGCTTTAGCATCATCTTTAGCTTTAGCGTAGCTTTAGCGAAGCTTTAGTTTAGTGTTAGCTTAGCTGCAGCTTAGCTTTAGCTTAGCTTGAGCTTAGTAATAGCTTAGCTATAGCGCAGCTTTCGCTTAGTTCTACGCTAGCTTTAGCTTAGTTTTTACTTAGCTTCAGCTTAGCTTTAGCTTAGCTTTACCTTCGCTTTACCTTAGCTTTATCTTAGTTTTTGTTTAGCTTTAGCTTAGCTGTAGCTTAACTTTAGCTTAAAGTTTGCTTAGCTTTACCTTAGCGTTAGCTCAGCTTTAGCTTCGCTTTACTGTTACTACTAATGCTGTTTTCCTAGAGGCTCCAACTCCTAGGTAGAGTTGCATTGGGATAATATTATTATATGCTTGCCCAGGAGTGCACTGTATCAGGCTTACGCGCGGGATCTTGCAGCATCTTGCAGTATCCTGGAGAGCCCGATTGGCCCGGGTTTGGAGTCGGTGCGTCCCCGATGGCCCGCGAGGTGACGACAAAGACAAAGACAGAGGAGACGAAAACAGCGTCCGACGACGATGCTCCCATCGCCGACGCCGACGTCGAAGACGACGACCATCGGGAGCAACGTTAGGCGTGGATGGGTTGAGGGTGGCGAAGGCTCAAGGTTTTCAGACGTGCTCGCCGTTTCTACGTAGGCCGCATTCCAGCCTCGGGATGCCTTCCGGCGGCTGCGGCTCGCAGGGAGCGCTGCGGAAACCCACGCTGGGGGTGGGGGGGATAGGCTCAGGAGGGGGACGCGTCGACCCCTAGTCGCCCACTGATCGGCGATGGGCGCCCGATACAGGGTACGGCTTGAATACCGAACACATTCTGTTCAAAAGGGGCTCGGTCGTTCCTGTGGTTGGCATGCGTTCCGCTACCTTTTTGGCGGCGAGCTCCCCTGGTGTGGTTTCCCTTCGGACTCCGTAGGTTGACTTGGACAACCAAAAGGGGCTTCGTGTCTGATCTATCGGGCGAAGAGAACTATGCACATGCACTGATCCTGGCGAGGCCCATCCTTGACCCAGGATCGGTGCATATGCCTTCCTGGCCAAGGTAGGAGGGCGTATGCACCGATCCTGGGCTCAGGATGGGCCTGGCCAGAATCGGTGCATGTGCATAGTTCTTTTCCCTCTAATCTATCGTTCCTTGGGTCATGCCGGATTCTGCAGTCGCCCACTGATCGCCGATGGGGCGCCCGACGGCCCACCCACCCAGAGGCGCGCGGCTGTGCCATCG